CAATGTTGCTATAGAGTTGGTGAGAGGGCTATTATACCTTGGTTTTACCCAAAGGACAAGGGGTTCAGAGAAGCTAACTATTATGACAAAGTCCTGCAGGATCAGAGGCACCCTTCCCATCCCCCACCCCTCCACATCCCCGCTCCATCACCTGTGGTGTTTGAAGGGCTGCTTCTGCTGGAACGTACCGATCGACCACTTTCTACCCTGGCCAACATGGCTGAAATATGAATGTTTGTCCATCCAACAAACGTCTAGGTGAGAAGGCTAACAGGAAGACTATGAAGTTGCATCTTTTAAGCTCTTGCACATTTTGCATCCTCCAGCAGGGTGTGTGGAAACAGAATTGGACTTGCCAGCAGAAAAACAAAATTGAAGTCTTTATTATAGTACCGTCTTATGGGACCTTGGGGAAGTCATTTGACCTCTCTCTTGGTCTCACTCTTCTTCAGAAAGTAGGCATAATAGGGGCGCCTGGGTGGCTCAGTCGTTAAGCGTCTCCCTTCGGCCCAGGTCATGATCCCAGGGTCCTGGGATCGAGCCCCGCATGGGGCTCCCTGCTCGGCGGGAAGCCTGCTTCTCCCTCTCCTGCTCTCCCCGCTTGTGTTCCCTCTCTCGCTGTGTCTCTCTCTGTCAAATAAATAAAATCTTAAAAAAAAAAAAAAAAAGAAAGTAGGCATAATAACACCTTCTCCCAGGGCTGTCTGAAGGACTAAGTGAGAAAAGGAGTCCCAGTGAACCCGGAAAAAAGCTCAACATTGTGTCTTGCATCCAACAGGTGCTCAGTACACATCCACTATTAATCTAAATGAAACAAAGGTTCAGTGGATTGTTTACAAAGATGAGCCTTCCAGAGTTGGGAACACTCTCCCCCTTGCTTTAATGGAGAATTAGAAAAACAAGAGCAGAACAGTCACATGAGGGAAGAAAATAAGAGAACTACTGTTAGCTTCCAACCTGACTCCCCTCCCTGGGATCACTTGCCAAAATGTGACAGACGTTTGCGGATTTGTACCCAGAGAGGACTCGTGCCAGACTCCCATGGCTGAGTGTTTTCCCTGCATGGAAGTTATTATGCTAACCTGAAATTAAGCAAGAGGTCCCATTAGAGAAGCGGCAGATGGAGAGCAGGACACTGTTTCTTTCTCTGGTCTTCTATCCTGAGGCTGCGGAGGGCTAAGTGGGGTTTGGGTGGAATCAGAGCAGGCTCAGACAAAGATGCTCAAGAACTGATGGTTTCCTTCTGCGGAGCCTATTTCCCATTGACCATTCCCGCTTATGTCACTTTTAAGAAGTCCATGAAGTGAGGACAGCTGGGATATTCACACATTTTGACGCTAGGTGAATAGCAAGGTGGTTGGCAAATACTCCTGGCGATTGTTCCGTTGGTAGTGACCAAAGCGACTGTGTATGGACTTGTCAGTGAAGTGAATCTTTCTTCTACTAAGAATAGCTGGGGAGCTGGTAGCTTCCTCGTCTAGGGCCAAAGTTTACCAGGAATGGTATTAGGTTTGTCTTTCTTCTTACCTCCTGTTTTGCCTAGGAAACCGAGTGGTCTCAAGGCATTTTTTGGATGGTAATACAGTCACTGTAAGTCAGCTAAGGAAAAGACAAAGTCCCCCAGAATACAACAGACGCTCTATGGGGCTGATCGCCTTTCATAGGAGGGGTGACAAAGCACAATGGTTAAGTACATGGGTGTTGGAATCAGAGGGTCCTCAGATCCAACCCTCGTGACAAGACATACTAGCTGTATGGCCCTTAGGGACTTACCACCCCCCACCATATCCTCATGCCTCCTTCCTCACCTGCTTCAGATCTGCTCCAATGTCCCCTTCTCAGTGGCGCCCTCCCTTACCTCCCAGTAAAAATTTTAACACCTTCTGCTCTACTTTGCTGATTGCCTTAACACTTATAATAAACTATCACCTTAATTTTATTGTCTATCTTCCCCAACCACAATAGATTCATTTTTACCAAAAAGCCAAAAATAAAAATTTAAAAATCTGAATTTTAACCATGGTATGCCTGTACTTTAAATCATTTCTTTCCTTTAGCTCACAGGGCTTTCCATATGCATTAGAAGGTGTGCCTTTAAACATTTAAATCTGTCTGCAATAGATCAAATAATAGGATTGGAAAGTTAGAATAAACACCATTCCTGGAGTGAAACTGAGAGCTACGTGCTGGAGTATACAGAAGCTTAGAGCAATGTCTTCCTTCCTGGAGATGCCATTTCCCTTTGAATGATTTCACAAGAATTTCCTAAGCATGTGTTGTGTACCTAGAGCGGTGCAAGATATTACAGTGGATTCAAAGCACAGATGGATTCAAATGGGATGGCATGGCAGGGCAGACAGGTCGGCTGGTCAGCCTGAGAACCCCATTGTTTCACATCACAGACGTAGTCTCTACACTCAAGGAGCATAATCTAGGCAAGCCAGTGATGCGTTACCCATGAAGCACTGCGGGTAGGAGTCATTTTCACTGTGACACTGGGCTCAGGGGTAGTTAGAATGATGGAATTTTGCCTATAAGCCTATTCGTTAAAAAAAGGTTCAGGTGGCTTCACAGTCACAAGAGAACAAGGCAGTGCACCAGGTGAGTACAAAGAGAAAGTGATGCTTTTCTCTTGAACCTTCCCTGCCCCTCAGTCCTCAGACTCCCTCAAAAAACACGGAGCTGTGAGTGATGCTACAAATTCCGAGCCTGTTTTCATTAGTCCCAGACGCCAGAAGAAATGATGACAATAAACTAATCTCTTTAGAGATTTATGAGGACATGATATCAGATTTGAATTGTAAAAACACCCTGAGGATGAAGCTTGCAGGATAGCTCTGAATATAGCATCTCATGACCAAATTTTGGGTGAAACCTGTTCCTCTCTGCTTGGGTAGGAACTGCAAATAGGGTGAATGAAGATTCCCCCACCCCCCCCAGTACTTGGAATAACAACAGTGAGGGGAAGAGGATTCCTTTGGGCCACGGTGTTGGACAGGAAATCACAGAGGTGGCTTAGAGTCTTGGAGCATGTATCCTCACTTATCTCCTGAGAGAAGGTGGAAAAGCCCTGAGATATAAAGAGCACATGGCACTGACTTAGAGGAAGTCCCCCGTGTGACTTCCAAGGAGAAAACAATTTGCTGGTGGAAGTCTCGAAGACCGATCAAGGCTCAGTCCCCGGGCCATCACCCCATTGCTATCTCCCCTTTCTCCCTCCTCAGCTCCCACCATGTTTGGCATTCAGGGTCCGCATGATCCTCCTCTGGGACTCCAGCCCAATCCCTCTGCATCCATCCAGGCTTCTTTCTGACACCCCCCTTCCACCCTGTTCACCACTGGAGGCAACCTAGCATGGTAGTTGGGAGGATGGTCTTTCTGGAGAGACCTAGACAGGAACCCCAGCTCTGTCTTGCCAGAATATCCCTCACCCCCACCCCTTCCCAAAGCAAAAAAAAAAAAGAGAGAGAGAGAAAACATTTTTAGTTTCTTGAAACTACAGCATGTTAAACATCTCCATTTCCAAAAAGACTCATGGCTTCACATTTGCATAATTCAAAGTTCACTTGGATGTTTTTCTTTTTCTTTTCTTTTTTTTTTTTAAAGATTTTATTTATTTATTTGAGAGAGAGAGAATGAGAGACAGAGAGCATGAGAGAGAGAAGGGTCAGAGGGAGAAGCAGACTCCCTGCCGAGCAGGGAGCCCGATGCGGGACTCGATCCCGGGACTCCAGGATCATGACCTGAGCCGAAGGCAGTCGCTTAACCAACTGAGCCACCCAGGCGCCCCCACTTGGATGTTTTTCATAGTCAAAGAAATAGCCCCAAAGTAATACAGAGGTCTCCATCTCTAGCAAGACAGATAGTGTTTGCAGATTTTTAAAAGACCCTTTTTTTTTTTTTTTTTAAAGCTTCTCCCTGTCAAGGTTTAAAGAAATCTACAATCAGAGTTTCAGGCTGAGCAGGGATCCTGTTTCATTAGTTTATCTACCATATATCTCCATTGTTCAGGTCAGGCTTGGTCGGGAAACTACCTGTGAGAATTTTTATTTACCATGTATTCCTATTCTAGTGTTTCCTGGCCTTTTATATGTCTTAGCACACATATCCGTGCAGCACCCTGGGGTAGGTGGGTGAGGGTGACCAAGGCTCTAGGAAGCCTGAGGGCTCCTGCCACCTGGACAGGGCGTGTGAGATTTCCTGGTGCCACAGTATAATAATCATTGCGTAACGTGCGTGTGGTCTCCTTTGCTCCTTTCACCCTGGAGTGTGTGCATGTGTGTGTGTGTGTGTGTGTGTGTTCGTATGCCAGGCGTCAGTGCAACTGTGAGCATCCTGTCAGCTCTGTGGGTTGAATTCCGCGTGCTTTTACAGTCTCCTCAGTAAAACTTCCAGGGCGCCCGGCTGGCTCAGTCGGTGGAGCTTGTGACTCTTGATCTCAGGGTCGTGAGTTCGAGCCCCACGTTGGGTGTAGAGATTACTTAAATAAAAAAATAAATCTTAAAAAAAAACCACCCAACTTTTCAAAGCTGCTGCTTTGCCCTCTGACATTCATTTTTAACCAGGCTTTTGTTTCTTTTTTTTTTTTTTTAAAGATTTATTTATTTATTTATTTGACAGAGAGAGAGAGACAGCTAGAGAGGGAACACAAGCAGGGGGAGTGGGAGAGGGAGAAGCAGGCTTCCCGCTGAGCAGGGAGCCCGATGCGGGGCTCGATCCCAGGACCCCAGGATCATGACCTGAGCCGAAGGCAGACGCTTAACAACTGAGCCACCCAGGCGCCCCTAACCAGGCTTTTGACTGTTGATTAGAAAGAAGCCCTGAAAATAATTACATTATCCAGAAATAAGATCATTTGTCTTTTTCTTTTAAAACAATTTTCTTGTTATAATCACTTCAATTGTTTCTAAATTAAGCCTTATGAATGGTTCGGCAGAATGGATGGTCTCCATGAGCAGAAATGCTTCCCAAAAGAACCAAGCCTTGTTACTAGAACTGACCTGTTGCAGAAATCCCCGTCTATTTGCTGAACAGGATTAACAAGAGGACCAGCTGAGGCAAGTGTTGTAGGGCCTTGTGGACCTCAAGCTTGACAACAGGAATATTATGGAATAACTATTAGATCATAGGCCACGGTGTCCAACAGATCAGGGTCCAAATCCTGCTCTGCCACTCAAGAATACGGCAGGCTACTCTCAGCTCCTCAGTTTTGCCACCTGCAAAATAGTGATCATGAGTGTGTGGGGTGCACGTGGTTGTTAGGAAGTAAACAGACCTAAGATGCCTTTACGTACATGGGGAAGGAGAAGGATGCACACTCCCTCTGCCTCTATTCGGGCCACTCCTCAGGAAGCACTAATGTCACTGGGTAAGTTTCCAGGTTACAGATTTGCCAAAAACAAGGATTACAGTTTGTTCATTCCCCTCTGCTTCTCGCTTTCAGCTGGCTCTAGAGATAAGCAGGAATCTCTGGCACTGTCTCCCCCATCCCTTCTGCTTACAGGTACTACAGTGACTCTCTCCCCTCCAGTTTAGCTGCCCGATGGTGGTAATGCTGAAATTTGAGTTGAGAGGGTGGAGGCCTCGCATGGGCCTCGAGCCTAAATCATCCACTCCAACCTGATCCGTGGAGAGGCCTGCCCTGGTTGTCCGGCTAATAAGAAGTGCTTTGATTTCCCGAGGTCTGTATCTTTATAGTTCCCAGTGGGAAGAGGAGGGGACTGGCAGAACAGGATTTGGATATTTCCAGGTCTCGGTACAACATCAACTAACACTACCTCATGGAATAAAATGGTAGCCCACACACACCAAAAAGAAGCGTCACTCTCCTAACAAAGGCGATATGCAATCCTCCAAGATGTTCCCATTCTAGAGATAGGGATGCTTCCACTCCCTTTTTAAAAATTCCCTTTCTTGTGTTAGCAACCAGATAATGCTCAGCTGGACCTTTCTGTCAGAATGTCAGCCCTTCCTGCCTAGGTGTGGATGGTGGGAAGTGAGCAGCCTTGCATCTCATCTTTTGCCAGGTGATGAGGCAGGGCTGCCTCTTCTGAGAGGTGTTTGCATTTGGCCCTGGGAAATCTGAACTGTAGAGATGACATCCTCCCATACAGCAGGCTCTCTTTTTCAGCAGGGAAGGCAGACTGGGTTTCTTTCTTTCTTTTTTTTTTTAAATAAAAAATGGATTCAAATGCAGAAATGGCCAGAGTGTCATTACATGCTTTTATGCTCTGTTAAAAACCACACATAGCTAAGGTGGCAACAAAGCAAACGCCCATCAACAGATCAATGGATAAAGAAAATGTGGTATATAAACACCACAGAATATTATTCAGTCTTAATAAAGAATGAAATTCTGATAGATGCTATACACCATGGATGAACCTTGAAAATATTATGCTAAGTGAAATAAGCCAGCCATAAAAGAACAAATATTGCATGAATAGTCAAATTCAGAGAGACAGAAAGTAGAAGAGAGGTTACCGGGGCTAGGAGAAACGGAGTGAACAAGGAGTTAGCGCTTACTGTGTATATAGAGTTTCTGTTTGAGGTGATGAGAAAGTTCTGGAGATGGACTGTGGTAATGGTTACACAACATTGTGAATGTACGTAATGCCACTGAATTGTGCACCTAAAAATGGTTAAAATGATAAACTCCATGTTATGTATATTTTACCACAAAAAATAAAGAAACAAATTAAGAAAGAAAGAAAAAAAAATTGAAGAAAAAAGAAAGAATTACCCAGCAGTCCTGGGATACCAACTCCATGGAAGAGAAGGGCCCAGAATTCCACCCTAACTTCCCAGCATCCACATGTCCCTGGGGCAGAGCTTTTCTGAGTGGCCAAGACAAGATCAAAGCCAAAGGAAACAATGCTCTTCACAAGACCTGGCAAAAAGCACTTATTAAAGCAGTCCCATTGACAAAATAACGGACTCCATGATTGTTTCTGTTCATTCAAGGGGACAGCAGGCCCCAGAGGCAGGGAGGGGCAGGCAGGATTCTGCTTTCAAAGGCTGCCTGAACCTTTGACCAAATAGTCACCGAATAAGCCTGTTATAGTCCCCAGCACATGATTTATGACCATAGATAGTATTTATTTCCAAATTAGAACTGTAAATTCTCTAGATGTTTCTAAAGAAAAAAAAAAAAGGATGATTTCCATCAAACAATGGCATTTTTTGGCTACCATAACTACAAAACTTAACTCCCTCATTTCTGCTCATGGAATATAAAAAAAGTTTCTGATTTTATTGTGCCATTATAAACAGATTTCCTCCTAAAATGTTTCTAGAATATGTTAACTTTTTTGGTTTTCTTAATAATCCTGGCTAAGAATATCATAATTTGTAAAAATATATTCACACACACACACACATATATAAATATAATTCTTTTATCCATGAAAAAAAGCAACTGCCAGCTATAATTCAGTGGAGTTAAATAGAAAGAGCGTAATTTACGTCTGCATCTTTATTCCTAATAACAACTGTAAAAATAACTAAAATATTCTGAACGTTGTAGTCATGGAGACACTTCTACCTCCAAAGCGTAAAATATAATTTGTTGAGGAATGTCTAGTAAGACAGAATGAAAACTAACCGAGACAAGCAAACCTAATCAAAGTCTTTAAATTCTAGTTTCTCTTCTTTCAATTTGGATTAATTCCTAACAACTTAGTGCCCAGAAATAACCACAACAGAAAGTACCTGGCAAATTTAAAAAGCTTCAGACTAATTAGAACAGAGAAAAGAAACCCATGTATCAGAAATCCAGAAACAGCAGTCAAATAACATGAAATCATCCTGTGTTCTTTCATCTGCAAATGGAGTTGTCTTACACTTTATTTTAACCAAATAAAGTATTTTGACTAGATTCCAATTCTGATGGACCCTGAAGTGGGGAAGGAAAGCTACGTGATGAATAATAGATAAATAAGATGGAGCCCCTATTCTGCAAGAGCTAACAGTCTAGTGTACCAACATACAATGAGAGCTACAAATGTGTACCTTATAGGTAATTTGAAACATTCTAGTCATCACATTAAAAATTAAGAAGAAACAGGTGGATGAATTTTACTAATATATTTCATGTAGCCAAACTGTATTCAAAACGTTATCATTTCAACACGTAATCAATTTAAAAATTATTAATGAAGTATTTTACATCCCTCTTTTTTTGGTCATTGTTCTAAATCTTTGAAACTCAGAATATATTTTGTACTTACAACACATCTCCGTTTGGGCCAGCCACGTTTCCGATGTTTAATAGCCACATGTAGTCGATGCTACTGTATTGAACAGAGGGGACAGCAGGAAGCATAGAAAATATACAAAGAGCTCAAAAGCAAGACCAGCCTCATCGGGGCTATCTATGAGAGCCATAAATAAAACATCTGGGGCGTCTTCAAAGAGGTGGTTGCATCTGAATTGAGTCTTAAGAGTCTTTAAGTTAGGAAATGGTCTACTCAGACTTGCAACTGTGTAAAGAGCTGACTGATGGCTGAAGGGAAGATCAGATGGTTGGGACAAGGATAGAAGGAATCAACAGTCTAGACAAGAGATGTTGGGGACCAGGGCAAAGGCCAGGGTGGATTTAAAATCTATTCTGGAGGTGGAATTAGGAGATACAGTGACTGACTGGAAATGACGAGACAATGTTGAAGACATCCTACATGGTTACCCAGCAACCATTTTTCTGACCTTCTCTGTTAACAGAAATTTGATTTTGTTCAGGTGTTTTGTACCTTCTGCAGTGCCTTGTTTGGGGGGGGGGGGGTGAGTGGGAGGAAGATGAAAGGATTCTTAGCCCCAGGAGGGTGGATCAGTTTTATTTATCATCGACTGGCTTAGGAAGGAACATGACATCCAACTTTGGCCAATGAGACTTGTAGATTGGCCTGCAAGCGTGAAGGGCTTCTTAGATCTTTTTTTTTTTTTTAAGATTTTATTTATTTATTTGACAGAGACAGAGATAGCGAGAGCAGGAACACAAGCAGCGGGAGTGGGAGAGGGAGAAGCAGGCTTCCCCTCGAGGAGGGAGCCCGATGTGGGACCCGATCCTAGGACCCTGGGATCATGACCTGAGCCAAAGGCAGATGCCCAACGACTGAGCCACCTAGGCGCCCGGGCTTCTTAGATCTTAAGAACAAATACAAGGAGGACAGAGTCTCCTTCTGCCTCTAGTGTGGGGTGTGGTGAGGATGTCACGGCTGGGACTGCTGCAGCCAGTGTGGTGTCATCCTGAGCTGAGTCACCCAACATCTGAGAATGGCAGAGTGGATACACGGCCTCTGGATGACATCGTTCAACCATGGAATTACCCAACCCGGAAACGCTCCACCTCTGGACTTTTTGTTTTGTGAGAGGATGTATGTATGGATCACTTCAGACATATGGGGGTCATCCCTTATTTGCAGGTGATAGCATACTAACAGATAGGAAAAGGGAAGAATCTAGACAATGCCTCAACCACTGGTAATAGCTATGTCTTTCCTTTGTTCAGGATGTTAGACAGCATGTGAAACTCTTTCACCTCACAAATCCTCCTGACAGTCCAGGGAGCTGTTGAGGCAGATGGTCTTGTCTGCTTTGACCTGCATAGCATCCCTCTCCCCAGTTCTTCCTTTGCATTTCCAGCAACTGGTACAGTACTTGGAATTTAAAAAAAAAAAAAGACTGCTATCACTTCTTGAGCTTTTTCTGTGTCAAAACTGTTAAATGTTTTATATACAAAATCTCATTTACTCCTCATTTTATCTCCTCATTTACAGAGCTGACAACAGCGCTGTGAGTGGGTATTATCATCACCATTTAACAGATGAGGAAACTGAAACTCAGAGGGGTTAAATTATAAAATCAAGGTCTCAAAGTTAGTGACGTGAACCCAGGTATGTCTCTCTGGAAAGGTTATATTCTTTTTTTTTTTTTTTTTTCCCATTTTCTTTTCTTTTTTTTTTTATTCTTATGTTAATCCCCATACATTACATCATTAGTTTTAGATGAAGTGTTCCATGATTCATTGTTTGTGCACAACACCCAGTGCTCCATGCAGAATGTGCCCTCCTCAATACTCACCACCAGGCTAACCCATCCTCCCACCCCCCTCCCCTCTAGAACCCTCAGTTTGTTTTTCAGAGTCTCATTGTTCGTCTACCCCTCCGATTTCCCCCGCTTCATTCTTCCCCTTGGAAAGGTTATATTCTTTACCACCATA